CCACGCATGACCGCTACCCCATTCCACACATTCAGGATTTTTCCATGCGTTTGGCTGGCACCACAATTTTCTAAAGTGGATTTGGTCCGTGGTTATCACGAGGTGCCCGTGCAGGCGGATGATGTGCCCAAAATCGCAGTGATAACCCCGTTCGGGCTTTTCAAATTCCTGCGCATGCCTTTTGGGCTGAAGTCTGTGCAGCCCACTTTTCAAAGATTGATGGACTCCGTGTTGCGCGACCTCGATTTTGTGTTCGTCTATCTCGACGACATTCTGGTGGCCAGTCCCTCACCGGAGGAACACCAGTCGCACTTAGCGACGGTTTTCAAGCGTCTTGATTCACACAGCCTGATCGTTAACCCAGTGAAATGTCAGTTTGGTCTGTCTGAGATCGATTTCTTGGGCCACCGCATTTCAACACGGGGCGCTATCCCCTTGCCCGCCAAAGTGCAGGCGGTGGTGGATTTTCCCCGCCCCGCTTCAGTTAAGGCGCTGCAAGAGTTTTTGGGCATGGTTCATTTTTATAACCGGTTCCTTCCTCGCGCACCCCACCTCCTGCAGCCACTTTACGGCACCTTGAGAAAGAAGAAGGCTAATGATCCTATGGAGTGGTCTCCACAACGGGCAGGGGCGTTTCAACAAGCTAAGACGCTCTCGCAAGTGCAGCCCTCCTGGTCCACCCGATTGCAACCGCGCAAGTGGCTTTAACTACAGATGCGTCTGATATTGCTGTTGGGGCGGTGGTTGAGCAGCTGGTGGAGAACGTATGGCAGCCCCTTGTGTTTTTCAGTCGTAAGCTGCGGGATAACCAACGCAAGGATAGCGTTTTTGACATAGAGTTGCTGGCACTCTATCTTGCGACGCGCCATTTTCGTTTCCTTCTTGAAGGACACCCGTTCACCGCTTTTGTGGATCACAAGCCACTTACATTTGCAATGTCAAAGGTTACGGAACTCGTGGTCGGCTCGGCAGCAACGGCACTTCGCGGCCATTTCTGAGTTCACTACTGATATTCAGCATGTGGCCGGTAAGTGTAATCCTGTGGCTGATTGCTTGTCGCACATGTGGCCGGTAAGTGTAACCCTGTGGCTGATTGCTTGTCGCACGCAATCGTATGTCCGGTCCAGCTCGGGGGTGATTTTTCAGAGATGGCCGCCGACCAATCCGAGGATCCTGACCTCAAGGCAGCCAGTACGGCTCTTAAACTTGAGGAGGTAATAACGCGTGTAGGCGGTCCCCCTCTCCTCTGCGATGTGTCTACGGGTCGTACTCGCCCTGTGGTTCCATTGGATTGGCGTAGCGGAATCCTTGATTCAATCCATTCCCTCTCACACCCTGGCGTTCGTGCGTCAGTCAAGCTGGTTGGGGCCAAGTTTGTCTGGCCTGGATTACGCAAGGACGTCAGGAGGTGGGCGTCTGCATGCGTGGCGTGTCAGCGCGCCAAAGTCCACCGGCACACCAGGGCGAACCTCGAACCTTTTCCAATTCCGGCCAGGCGATTTGACCACGTCCACGTGGACCTGGGAGGCCCCCTCCCTCCGTCGCAGGGTTTCACACGTCTACTCACGATGGTAGATCGGACCACTAGGTGGCCAGAAGCAGTTCCCCTGTCCTCCACGACCTCAGTAGATATCGCTCGTGCTTTTCTGTCATCCTGGGTCGCGCGTTTTGGCACCCCATCCAATATCACCTCGGACAGGGGCTCCCAGTTTGTGTCGGAGCTCTGGTCGGCCATGGCAGGGTCCTTGGGTGTGCAGGTACACCGCACTACGGCCTACCACCCACAGGCTAATGGGTTGTGCGAACATTTTCACCGGTCGCTAAAAGCTGCGCTGCGGGCTGCGCTTTCGGACGGTAACTGGGTCGAGCGCCTTCCGTGGGTTTTGCTCTGGTTACGGTCGGCTCTGAAAGAAGATCTTAATGCCGCCCATGCTGAGTTGGTGCTCGGTCAGCCACTTCGTGTTCCCAGTGAATTTCTGCCAGTAGTTCCGGCGCGCCTTCCTTCCCCTTTTTGTCGGAGGGACCCCTAACTCCGAACACCGGTACACCATTTGGTTCCCAAAGTGTTCGTACCGTCTGCGCTTATGTCGGCCCGTTTTGTTTTTGTGCGCCATGATGCCCACCGCTCGCCCCTCCAGCCACCGTATGACGGCCCATT